ATTATTTGAAAAGCTTCTAGTTCATCAAATTTACTACCATTTACTATATTGATGTTATTATAAACACCTGAATAACTTGCAATACTACCATCTGTTTCAAAAAAAAGATTATTACCTTCACCAAAAAGAGGTAAATAAGAAGGATGGCAACAAATTGCATGCTTGTAATTATTAATAACGTAACTAAACTGTGCAGTATTAATATTATCTCTATTACTTATATTAAATATAAAACTTTCTGTGGTGTTTTTAAATATATGACCTCTATTCATGTTTGCATTCCAATCAAGTGGATTATATCCACCAACTATTTGCTCTGAATTCTGTATTTTAGCAACTACAATAGTTTTGTTGATATTATCACATTTTTGATGAAAAGTAGCTTCATTTAAACCATCTCTACTACTACGATATAAAAGTCTAAATTTGTATTTGGCATCATTAAATGAAGTATATGGTGGGTGTTTTCTATCAATCCAGCTTGCAAAAAGCAACATCACCCTTTTTTCTTTAATTATTGTTGAGTCAATTTTTGGAAGGATTCTTGATGGTAATAAATTTGAAATTTGCTGATCATCAGGAACTAAATAATATTGTAAAAGGTTTTTCCATAAAGCTTTTGGAAGAAGCATTTGGTATGATGCAATTTTGTCATTAAAATCTTTGCTAGAGATATCCTGAAATCGAATCAAAGGAATAAATTCTTTTATTGTCTTTTCAAAATCTGCAAAGCTTTGCAATGACCAATCATCAACATTAATATTATTGATTTCTGGATGCCTTGCCAATCCCCATTTAATAACATTTTCCCAAATAACTATCTCGTCAACAACAAAATCATCTCTTTTGAGAACTTCTAATAGAATTGGTTTCTCCAATGATTCAAATTCACTTGACTGAAACAATTTTTCACTATAATCACAAAATGTTTTTAAATAAATATTTTTCAATTCTTTAAATCCTTCGTTAGAATAAATTGACTTGAGAATTTTAATTGGATTTTCTTTTATATAATCCTCATGTTTCTCAATAAAATATTTCATTGTATATTC